ATATAATTCAGCCCTTTTAATTACTTGTCCAGATTCCCCTCTCCGTGGGTTGTGTTGTGATGTTCGGCTTATAATTGACTCGACTCGAAAAAACACAAAATATCAAGGTTTTGGTCCACTTCATACCAATATTATTATCTGATCATCACCGAAGGTCCACTTCACACCAATATTGTTATCTGATCATCACCGAAAATTGTAGGTGTTGTCCTTGACCATACCTGGATCCTCATGGAAAATTTCAAAACCATCAGCGTTATATTTTCGCCCCCTAATGTGGCAATGGGTCACTAAATAATATATGAATACGTAAGTACCTGCAAATATTTAAGTGTAACTCCCACATCCGAGTACATACAACCATATAATTGGTATCGGTTAAAACGTCAACCACTCCTCTTGGATATATTATCAACTTCTCGGGTCTATGTCCTTCAGGGGGAAATCTATAATCTATAGAGTACAAATTTTGTCATTTTTCACACAAAAGTCAAGATCCATTAGACTCGCTAAATATTGACAGATTTTTATCAAAACAGACATGCTTATTTTTTGGACCGATCCCCTCTCCATGAAAAATATATGTACTTTATGGGGTTTGCGGTGAATATTTCGAGCTGTTATTAACAGAATGACAAATTTAAGGTAAACTCCCTCTTATAGTGGATGGTATACAAATCTACGCAAATGTTATTTAATGAAAATAACCCATAAAAGATTGTTTTTTTAATCTACCCTTGTCCATGATATTTTTTGTTTTTGACTGATACGTGTTTCTTAGATAAAAAATTTGAATATTTACAAAAAATTTTCTCCGCTTTCTATAGTCGATTTTTTTTTAAAATGTAAATATTTAACGATTTCAGTACTGATTGGCAATCTTGAAAATTAAAAGCAAACTGAACATATCTCTTGCCACACTAGGGACATCTATATATCATCCGTGCAATTAATAACATATCGCATTACCAACCACATTCACTGCACCTGTGTTCAGTTGGTACAAAAAACGTAGATATATTGGTTAATATATTCGCTGAGATGGTATTCATAGTAGCGACTAGAACCAACTGAAATGCAGTTATTATAATATCTCAGTAGATGGCGCTTAGCGTTTAAAAACATCAGGAATATCTAACAAAGACATAAAAGAATAAAGACAAAGACATAGAAACCGTAAAGACTCGACAAAATGCATTGACAAAATAGTTTATGAACCAGTAAGGAAAGTAGTAAAGTCGGACGGGGCCGACTATATGATACCCTTCACCACTATGGGTATATTAAACAGGACTATTAGCAAGAAATTGGATGAAATAAAATATGTGATATAAATCTAAATGTGAATCTACCTAGATCTATCCATGAAGTATGTAAATCGACTTCAAACAAATATAAATAGGTCATCCGTAGGGTTATGTCTGTAATTCTAGAAAACGCAACTATATAATTTTATGCTCAATTTTGTACGATGTGCAAACTTTGATGTCAATCTGTCTAACATGAGGAGTTTGATGCCCAATTTACTTGAAATCGGGCGAAAATATATATGGTGCGTTAATTACTTAAAATCAATCTATAATAAAAGGGACTATATCTATCTAAATCTAGACCGATTTTCACGAAACTTGGCAGACATCATTCTAGACCTAAATGATTAGGCTGTACCAAATTTCGTGCAAATCGAAAGATATATAGGGACTTTGGGGCACCATTTACATGAAATCGGATGAAACTATATATGGGAGATATATCTAAATCAGGACCGATTTTCATGAAACTTGGCAGACATCATTCTAGGCTCAATTATGTACGTTATGCCAAATTTCGTGCAAATCGAAGGATATATAGGGACTTTGGTGCACCATTTACATGAAATCGGACGAAACTATATATGGGAGCTATATCTAAATCTGGACCGATTTTCTCGACAGTTGGCAGACATCATTCTAGGCTCAATTCAGTACGTTATGCCAAATTGCGTGCAAATCGAAAGATATATAGGGACTTTGGGGCACCATTTACATAAAATCGGACGAAACTATATATGTGAGCTATATCTAAATCTGGACCGATTTTCTCGAAACTTGGCAGACATCACTCTAGGCTTAATTCAGTACGTTATGCCAAATTTCGTGCAAATCGAAGGATATATAGGGACTTTGGTGCACCATTTACATGAAATCGGTCGAAACTATATATGGGAGCTATATCTAAATCTTAACCGATTTTCATCAAACTTGGCAGACATCACTCTAGGCTTAATTCAGTACGTTATGCCAAATTTCGTGCAAATCAAAAGATATATAGGGACTTTGGGGCACCATTTACATGAAATCGGACGAAACTATATAGGGGAGCTATATCTAAATCTGAACCGATTTTTACGAAACTTGGCGTTTACATTAAATCGGTTAAATATATACATATATATATATATATATATATGGGAGCTATATCTAAATCTGAACCGATTTTTCCCAATTTCAATAGGGTTCGTCCTTGGACCGAATAAGCGACCTATGCCAAATTTCATCCAATTCGGAGCATAAATGCGACCTGTACTTTGTTTACAATTTAACATGGACAGACGGACGGACGGACGGACATGCATAAATCGACTTAGAAAGTGATTCTATGTATATTCTCAAAAGGAACCATGGGTATATCTCGATTATTTTTGCCTGTTACAAACATATGCACAAAGACATAATACCCTGTACCACAGTGTGGTGAAGGGTATAAAAATATCCAGGGGGAATCAGGCATAACAGAGGCATGTTAACAATAAAAACGCAAATACGCGATAATGTGTGTATAAAATATAAATAAAATCAGAGATCTGCACTCCAAATTTATTTTTTATTTAATAAATATACTTTCTGCTCGGTGCTGGGCGCCTATTACCTGAAAATGAAAATCTCTCAAAAATCGGTCTCTCAAAAATAATGTAATGTAATAAAACTTCAGAATCTTCTCTAACCATTGCTGCAACATTTGTGAAAATCGGTGAAGTATTTCCTGAGTTATTAGAATTTGAATTGTACCATATTCCGAAATATACTTCCTGCTCGATTCTGGGCGCCTATTACCTAAAAATTAAATACACCACAAAAATCGATCTTGTAAAAATGGATTTTTTCACAACAGCTATGTAAGTATATTTTACATTACAAGATTTACAATAATGTTGGCTACTCCTTGTTTAGGAACTACTTCCAGCTTATGATCTAGTCCATCAACTTGGGCAAGCGTGGGTAATGATCTGAAGCCTTCAGTGTTCGCTAAACGATTTAGAGCCGGATGGTCCAGGACTCGAAGTGTAGCTGATTTTATTAAAATTAAATTGAGCTTAAGTACTACTTATGAGAAGCAAGATCCTCGTCTAGTATTGGTTATATGATAAGGTGTTAATATCAGTTATGTAGTTTTTCGTACTATTTACAAAAATATTTACATAGTTAACCGTTAATTTCAAATGTTTAAAACAGAGTTGCATTTTAGCATTTAAATGATCAATAAAACGTATGTGTTTATACTATAGTAATTAAAATAAGACTAGAGTTGATCCGCTTCAGGTTTTATTTTACGTAGAGTTACGATTCTAGTTTAGAATGGCCACTTATGCGTACATACGAAATTTTGCCACTATCTATGCTGGAGGGCCGCGATGCGGCTGTATACAAATATAGGTTTTATTTTACATAGCTTAGCTTCTATTTCAATCAGCATTAACATTTTGTATGTCCTGTTTACTGCAGATAATAGTTGCGGGATCAATGGTTGGCTTATCCATGGAATTATCGAGAAACCTCAATAACTATCGTTGTTTTCTACAATTTATTTTTAATTATCACCTCATTGTCATCCCCTTTTATATAAAAAAACACACACACAAATGTTCTCTATAAAATGTTTTTTTTTTAATATATTTTTTTTTTCTTTTATAATAATATTCGATATTGTAATGCAAGCATTATAACTAGATTTTCGATATATGGATAGTATATATGTCGTTATATATAAGTATGTAAATATATACAATAAACTATTTAATAATTGGTACAAAATACCACAATTTTGGGGATTATAAATTATACAAATTTTATTTAAAAAAAATTACTACAATTCTAAATATATAAAATAAACAAAAAATTACATACAAAATTCCTACAATAATAATTATTATTATGATTAATTATTTTAAAAATATAATATATTTTTTTTAGTATCAACTGGCTCTAGGTTATTGTCGTCCAATATATATAAGAAACATATATTTTCTATGAATATATATTGATGATAATGCTCCTTGGTTTTCTCGATGAGGAGGGGGATTAGACAAAGTATTGGGATTGTTGGCAATCCTTCCTTTAAGTGCATTTAAGAAAAAATCTTATAAATTCCTGAGTCTAATTATTATTTATGTGGGGGACGTAATGATTTGTGGAAACAGGGATTTCCACATGGGGAGTTCCTAAGGGGAGAGGCTTTACTTTCCTATTATTAAATGTTTTTTTAATAGTTAATTTTGATTAGTAATGTTTGTTCTATGGAACTCTAAAATATTGCATGGGTTATTGTTATAATAACTAAGATTCTATTGCTATTTTGAACTAAACATATTTTGGCACTAGATTTTCACAAAATAAAAAAATAGTTTTACACATTTTATCAAGAACTTCGTGTTTGGGAAGTTCCGTTTTGTGCCAAAATACAGTGGTGTGTGATTGGTATATTGCTTTCGGTCCATACATATTTATTGTTTAAATTTTTATATACTGCATAAGATTCTGGTAAGGTTTAAAGTGGCAAGTTATAGGGATTTTACATGGTGGATCTTATAGTCTTCCTTATATATTATTTTCTTGAAGGCTATTTAGCGAAGGTTATTCGAAAATCGAAAATTTTCCGAAAATCCATATTTATCTTTTCACATTTTCTTTAAAACCATGTATTCCCCTTTATTTGCCTACCCTTTCCATTCCCCGTTTTACCCTTCAAACCATACCAAAATCCGTACAAACGGCTGTCGTTTGATTATTTTGCGGCTTCTCCAGGGCAGTGGTAGCTGCAGCTGATGAATTGGCAGCCGCCGCCGCGGCAGCAGCTGCTGCAGCGGCCATATTCAACTCCACCAATGTATCAATACTATTTAAACTAACACCCTGCAAGATTTTCTGAGCAGCCAATGAGGTAAAATTAAACGATAAATCGGTTAGACTGGGGAAATTATAAATGTCCTCTGCTTCGGCTTGATGGTCCTTCGACAAACTCAGACGGCGATCGAGAGTATCTTTGCGTATAGATTTATCCACCGAGCTAAGGCAATTTGTATCCTTTTGAGCCAAATTCGGCTCACTGCCAATGGAGTTGAGATTTTTTTGCAGGATCTGTGCCAAACTACCACCATTTGGATTACCACCTCCTCCTAGTCCTCCACCACCACCACTTAACGATGTATTGGAATTAAGCAGATTATCATTTTTGGCCAGCAATGTTGACGAGTCATAGCGTAAATTATTTAATTCACAATTGGAATTGATGGTCTTATTTAGGGTATCCTTGGAGGATTTTTCATAAAATCTTAAATTACCCACCGAACCGGTCATTTCCAATTTCGATTTCGTCAAATCAATGCCCGTTATTAGTTTGACATCATCACAGGGTGTTGTGGGTTGGGAATCACTGTTCTTGAGAACATTATTTTTATAAATTAGTTGCCCACCATTAGAGGGTTGTACCGACAGACTTAGTTTACGATTATTATTCATGGGAGTGGTGGTGGTGTTGGTTGAGCTATTGCTGCTGTCCACGAGATTCTTTGTGGAAACCTTGGGAAATTCAATGGAATCATGAGGTTTATCTGAGGACAAAGAACTTAAATATGACATAGAATCATAGGTCTCTGTGTCAGAACCACGATTTGAACCACTTTCGGCATGCATTTGGTTTTCTGGGGTAACGGGTAACTCTGGTGTTTGACTGGGTTCTTTTACGCTATGCCTTAGCTTGTGACTGGCCTGACCGGGCATATGCTGCTTGGACAGAGTCTTCTTAATGATTTCTCCCCGCTCATTCATTGTGGTCTCATTGTTGAAGATGAACACATTCGAATTCTCATTCAGTTTGCTGTTCTCGAATGTTATAACACTTTGGGCCGGCGTATTTTGCACCACAATTTTGGTATTTGGTAAACAATGTTGGCCATCATTTGAGGTGGTCAGCTTCAGTGTAATTGAATTACTCGAAGGTGAATTGGCAATTGCTGTAGCATTTTCCGAACTTTCTTGTTGGCCATTGAGGCGGGATTCCAATGAAGGTTGGGTGCCACTGGAGGTTTTATTCGAGGAATTTGTATTGTTAGCCGAGGTGGTGGTTGTGGTGGATGCCTGATTTCTCATCATTTGCTCGGCATTACGCGCCCTCAATGCCTGATGCCGTGGTGTGCCCCTTGGCGAACCATTCAGCATTATTATGGATCGTGGCTGTATAACTGTGGAACTTGTTGAACGTTGCGATTCCAGACTAGAATGACCACTTGTGCGTACATACGAAACTTTACCACTATCAATGCTGGAGGGTCCCGATGTGGCTGCATACAATGAAGTTTTTCCCGACTCCAAACTCGAAGGACCACTTTGCCACATACGATAATCGGGTCGTGTCTCAGAACTTCGATTGGCAGGTGTTAATTTGTTGATTGTTGTTGTATTCCTCGATGGTGAATGCTCCAGCATGTGGCGAGCCACCGAACCACTGTGTATGGATTTTTGTGAGCTACGATAGGGCGTACTGGCTCGTGCGGTTAGAGTATTTGCATGGCCATTGGTGGTGGTTGTAGTAGCGACACCTCCTCCGCTGCCTCCACCACCACCACCTCCACAATTGGTTTTATTATTTAAATGCGATGTGGCAGGTATGGATTGTGTGGAACGGGGTAAAGAGCTACTACTGTATACCGGCGAACGTCTTCGTATTGGCGAACAATCTCGCGATGATATCACAAATGTTGATTCACTTGACAAGTTGCGGCGATGCCGACGTGGCAGGGTCAAGGAACGTTGGCTTAGCTCTGAACCATCATAGAAGGTGGAATTTGATAGAGTGTGTACTGTGGGCATGTCCTGCAAGCGAATAAGAAGAAAATTATTTAATTATGGAATTATTTGAGTGGAACCATGTTGAAGACTTACATGATCTTGGGTTTGTGTACCCACACTATGTAAATGTACCGCCTTGGAATTAAACCATTCCGCTGGCGGAAACTGGGCAGAGTAGGTTTCAAGTTGACGTGACTTATTTCGTCCACTACGACGAAATAGACGCGATAACAAAGATCCTTTTTCTGGAAAAAATAAAACAAAAAACGAAATTACAAAAAGTAAAAAAGCAAAAGGGCTTGAAAAATGCAGAAAATCGAATGGAACTATTATAGGCATAGAATGAAACTTTTATGGCAGGAGGTCCCTTATCATCTACAATTTCTAAAATGGCGTTTTAATCCCGAATTGCGAATTCGCAGCTACTTCTAATAAAAATGCCGCTGGTACTTTCAAAACTCAAAAGTCGGAAAAGTCTCTTACATGGGGTCTATGACAAAATATGGACCTGTATTGAAAATTCCATGTCAGGATATATTTTTCTTTGGGTAAGCCAAAAACAAAATTGTAGAAATTGATAATTTAGGCAACGATCTTAAAAATACCGACAATCAGACGGGACCAACATATTGGGTCTATGTCAAAGTAAGGGCTTATATTGGGACCTTCATAAAAATATAATGCAACATTTCTGGCGGAGGTCCCTTATCATCTGCACCTTCTAAAATAACGTTTTTATCCCGATATGCTACTTCGAATAAAAAATGCTGCTGAGACTTTCAAAAATCATGTCAGGATATATATAACGAGTGTAGAAGAAGCCTCTTACATGGGGTCTATGACAAAATATGGACCTATATTGAACATTTCATGTCAGGATATATATTTCACTGGGGAACCCTGAGCAAAAAAAAAAAAAAAAAAAAACTGTTTTCTCCCGAATTTCATGGCTATTAAACAATGGATATTGGCTATTCCTGACAATTTCTTCTCATCCTCCACAACTCTCTCTATGTCTTTCTTCAACTCACTTGGTGATGAGGAATCTGTGCTTTGGTACTCCGAACTACTGCTATCCGTGTTTAGTGTCTGAGCATAGGTTTTCGATAGGCTACGCGTTGAGGCACATCGCTGTAAACGTTTCGATGAACCAAACAGTCGTAAGCTATGCCTTCGTTCCAGACTTCGGGGTGTGGGAAATGATGAACTGCGTCGTTTTGAGGTTCGTGGATAGAGAATTTTATCACTTGGGTTGCCTAGAAAGCAAACAAAAAAAGAATAAATAAGGTTTTCAAAAATTATAATTCCGGATAGCATACCGCCACATATAACATCCGCCAAATTCGTTTGTATACACTGATGTGTCAAATCTCCATCGCGTTCGGTGGAAATTTCACCATACAACGAGTGTAGGGCCTCCTCGTTGGTCATCAACATGGTACGCGGTTCGCTGGGTACACTTTCAGCTGATTCATTTAAATCTTCATAGCCGTTGTGATGACTGCGCGGACGAGAGCGGGAACGTCGTCGTCTATAAAAAAATACCAACAAATATTAATGGGAATTCAGAATATAAATTATAGCGAAATTAGAGAACTTACTCTGGCGTCAATATAAAATAACCCTTTGCCGTTTGATAGATTTTCTGATCCTGCATTAACTGGGCCAATGAATCATAGATCACCTCCACCGATGGTGCTGTCATATGGGGAAATCGTATCTGTATTTTTGTGCGTATATTTTCTATGGTTGCTGAATGACCTTCGGCCGTTAAGTCCATAATTACATCACATAATGCTTCGGGTAGCGGGGTAAATTGCCCTTGCATAATTGGCGTTACAATACAGTCCTCAATATCACCTGGAATAAATAAAAAATACATAAATGATTGGTAATTAAAAAATAGGGGATCGAACCTATAAGCATGGGGTTTTTAATAAATATATTTAGTGACCCCGGTCGATATTTTTTTATATAGAAAAAAATTCGTGAGACCTCTGGTCGATTGTTTTTTTCTATAGACCTCTGGTCGATTGTTTTTTTCTATAGAAAAAAATTCGTGAGACCTCTGGTCGATTGTTTTTTTCTATAGAAAAAAATTCGTCAGGCCTCTGGTCGATTGTTTTTTTCTATAGAAAAAAATTCGTGAGACCTCTGGTCGATTATTTTTTTCTATAGAAAAAAATTCGTGAGACCTCTGGTCGATTATTTTTTTCTATAGAAAAAAATTCGTGAGACCTCTGGTCGATTATTTTTTTCTATAGAAAAAAATTCGTGAGACCTCTGGTCGAATATTTTTTTCTATAGAAAAAAATTCGTGACACCTCTGGTCGATTATTTTTTTCTATAGAAAAAAATTCGTGAGACCTCTGGTCGATTATTTTTTTCTATAGAAAAAAATTCGTGAGACCTCTGGTCGATTATTTTTTTCTATAGAAAAAAATTCGTGAGACCTCTGGTCGATTATTTTTTTCTATAGAAAAAAATTCGTCAGATGACCTCTGAGGTGATTATTTTTTTCTATAGAAAAAAATTCGTGAGACCTCTGGTCGATTATTTTTTTCTATAGAAAAAAATTCGTGAGACCTCTGGTCGATTATTTTTTTCTATAGAAAAAAATTCGTGAGACCTCTGGTCGATTATTTTTTTCTATAGAAAAAAATTCGTGAGACCTCTGGTCGATTAGTATTTTTTTCTATAGAAAAAAATCAGTGCTGAAGGCCAGGCGTATTTTTTTCTATAGAAAAAAAACTCTGGTTCGTAGTGACCTCGTGAGACCTCTGGTCGATTATTTTTTCTATAGAAAAAAATCGTGAGACCTCTGGTCGATTATTTTTTTTCTATAGATTATTTTTTTCTATAGAAAAAAAGTCGTGAACCCTCTGGTCGATTATTTTTTTCTATAGAAAAAAATACACAGACCCTCTGGTCGATTATTTTTTTCTATAGAAAAAAATCGTGAGACCTCTGATCGATTCTTCTTTTTTTCAATAAAAAAAATTTCGTGGGACCTCTGGCTCACGTTTTTTCTACGTGAGACCTCTGGTCCAAGTTTTTTCTCAAATAAAATCCAAACACTTTTAAAATTTAGAAGATATATTTAAAAAATACATGTTGGTTTTCAAAAATCCAATCTCCTTGGTCTGTATCCTCTGGTGTTAATTGGAGCTCCTGCCGGTGTCTTGCTCGTACTCTGATTCATTACACATTGGGGTGGTGGTGATGATGGTTGTGGCGAGGAAGTAGAAATTGGCGTAGACGTAGGAATTGGAGGTCCTTCCGGTGTAATGCTAATACTTTGTGGCCATGAAGTGGGGATTGAACGATTTGGGCTCTTCGTAGCTCTTGGATTAACAGGCAATGGAACATTTGACATATTAAAAGTACCATTGCCACCCATCACAGCACGCGGTATATCAAGAGTTGTATTACCAGCTGTACTTCCCGTGGGTAAGGTATAGCTGCGCGATGAGGCACGTATCACCCCAGAGTTTTCATTGTACTTTTCAATGGAAACACTATTGGCTGATTCTTCGGTACCCTGAGGACTGTAGGCTATGGAATAATCAGTAAAGTTACGAATCGAAGGTGGTGTGGTATTAAAGGTTTGATTCATTGTGGAACTTGGACCAACACCGGCCGTAAATGAATTGGGGTTGATTGAAGAGGAATTAAATTTTGAATTATTTATAGACTGTGACTTTTCGTGGGAGGTATTCATAAATGCCATCGATTGTGGTGACCATTGTTGTGCCGAAGAGGATTCATTGTGTCCTGCTGGAGGTAATTTAAATGATTCATTTGTCCTAGGGCACTGACGAGTGCTGTAGGTACTATTCATGGGACATTGTCGGGTGGTAAAGGTGGTATTTGTTGATTGATTGGGCGCCACTTGATATGTGTGATTTATTGGCGGTACATCATATGTTTCATTGTTGGCTAATCGGCGAGGACATCGTGGAGTTGAGGCCAAATTGGGACTTATTTGAAATGAATCCTCGAAGGTACTTTCAAATGTGGGCTCCTCATCACTTAACGTATAGGTGAGATCTTCACGAAATGGACAGGAGTTACTGGTATTGTAAGTCCTGGAAGCCATTGTGCTGTCACCATAATCCTCCGAATCGAGGCTGTCATAGGCACCTTGTTCATAATGTGCCGAATCTCCATACATTGCTTCAATTTGATTGGCAGCCTCTGCCAAAATTTCATAAATGGTGCGGCCAGCCCCACCTTTTAAACGATTCGCAATTTTTTGTTTCTCCACAAGTTGCTCTTTCATTTGGGTCATTTGTTCCCAACGTTCGTAGAGCTGCTGGCGTTCCTCCGCACTCTTTTTGCGTATTTCTTTTGTAAAACCTCCTCCATACGTTTATTTAAATCATCCTTGGGTAGGAGGAAAAGCTGTGAAGGAGCTATTTCCAAATTTCGAGACCACCAGAGAATTTCTTTTTTTGTCACATCCGAAAAATCATTATCTTCTAAGGGATTGGGTAGTACTGAGGATTTTGTAGCCATATCTTTGGCCATATTTCAAAATGGGTTTCAATATTTATTTTTTTAACTCAAAATTTTGTAATTCACTTATCAAAAATATATTTTTTGAAGACTTTTTCTTTAATTTTTGACAAATCTTTTTAAAAATATTTGTACAGAGTTGCCAACCATTTCCAAAATACTGATATTATTACTATTTCCTACTCACCCACAGAACTGATGATATATGTGGCCGGTGGTTTGAGGACACTGCGTGCATAGGCCCCTCGTACTACCTCCAGGGCACAAGGCTCACCACATACCAACAGCATACCCGGCGCCACATGACCAGCATAACGTAAAGCCCGAGTAGCAGCTGTTAGCGGTGCGTTCCACCAACACTGTGCATTGGCCGATAAGAAATTCTGCAAAAAAATGAATGGAAAAATAAAATAATCAGCAAAAATGTAAAACAAAGACAATTGTCATAAATTGTTAACGGTGCATTAAAGCAAAAACATAAAAAATAAATGAAAACTAGGTCTTCCGCACAAGTGTTCCTTCCTCCGTCTATTTATATTTTTTGTTTATTATTACGCAAAATTCACAGCGTTAAGAAAATAGCACGTTACTCACGTACACCCAAAAGCCAATGAATGAAATGGAAAATGCATCGGATAAAAAAATATATAATGGGTCATATCTGATTTTATAGGTAACTGGGTGTCTTATATAATTAAAAAAACAAAACTTAATGAGGTTAAATGAAATTAATTAGAATAGCAATTTGTTTTATGAAAAAAAATATAGACTATTTTTTCTATAGAAAAAAATCACCAGAATTCTCACGAATTTTTTTCTGTAGAAAAAAATAATCGACCAGAGGCCTCACGAATTTTTTTCTATAGAAAAAAATAATCGACCAGAGGCCTCACGAATTTTTTTCTATAGAAAAAAATAATCGACCAGAGGCCTCACGAATTTTTTTCTATAGAAAAAAATGGACCAAGAGGCCTCACGAATTTTTTTCTATAGAAAAAAATAATCGACCAGAGGTCTCACGAATTTTTTTTATAGAAAAAAACAATCGACCAGAGGTCTCACGAATTTTTTTCTATAGAGAAAAATAATCGACCAGAGGTCTCACGAATTTTTTTCTATAGAGAAAAATAACCGACCAGAGGTCTCACAAATTTTTTTCTATAGAGAAAAATAATCGACCAGAGGCCTAAAGAATTTTTTTCTATAGAAAAAAATAATCGACCAGATGTCTCACGAATTTTTTTCTATAGAAAAAAATAATCGACCAGAGGTCTCACGAATTTTTTTCTATAGAAAAAAATAATCGACCAGAGGTCTCACGAATTTTTTTCTATAGAAAAAAATAATCGACCAGAGGTCTCACGAATTTTTTTCTATAGAAAAAAATAATCGACCAGAGGTCTCACGAATTTTTTTTCCACGAATTTTTTTCCATAGAAAAAAATAATCGACCAGAAAAAAATATCGACCAGAGGTCTTACGAATTTTTTTTTATAGAAAAAAGTCATCGACCAGAGGTCTCACGAATTTTTTTCTATAGAAAAAAAGTCATCGACCAGAGGTCTCACGAATTTTTTTCTATAGAAAAAAAGTCATCGACCAGAGGTCTCACGAATTTTTTCTATAGAAAAAACTTCGACCAGAGGTCTCACGAATTTTTTCTATAGAAAAAAAGTCATCGACCAGAGGTCTCACGAATTTTTTTCTATAGAAAAAAAGTCATCGACCAGAGGTCTCACGAATTTTTTTCTATAGAAAAAACTAATCGACCAGAGGTCTCACGAATTTTTTTCTATAGAAAAAACTAATCGACCAGAGGTCTCACGAATTTTTTTCTATAGAAAAAACTAATCGACCAGAGGTCTCACGAATTTTTTTCTATAGAAAAAACTAATCGACCAGAGGTCTCACGAATTTTTTTCTATAGAAAAAACTAATCGACCAGAGGTCTCACGAATTTTTTTCTATAGAAAAAACTAATCGACCAGAGGTCTCACGAATTTTTTTCTATAGAAAAAACTAATCGACCAGAGGTCTCACGAATTTTTTTCTATAGAAAAAACTAATCGACCAGAGGTCTCACGAATTTTTTTCTATAGAAAAAACTAATCGACCAGAGGTCTCACGAATTTTTTTCTATAGAAAAAACTAATCGACCAGAGGTCTCACGAATTTTTTTCTATAGAAAAAACTTGGAACAGAGGTCTCACGAATTTTTTTCTATAGGAAAATAATCGACCAGAGGTCTCACGAATTTTTTTCTATAGAAAAAAAGTCATCGACCAGAGGTCTCACGAATTTTTTTCTATAGAAAAAAAGTCATCGACCAGAGGTCTCACGAATTTTTTTCTATAGAAAAAAAGTCATCGACCAGAGGTCTCACGAATTTTTTTCTATAGAAAAAAAGTCATCGACCAGAGGTCTCACGAATTTTTTTCTATAGAAAAAAAGTCATCGACCAGAGGTCTCACGAATTTTTTTCTATAGAAAAAAAGTCATCGACCAGAGGTCTCACGAATTTTTTCTATAGATTTGATTTTTCTCTGGTTGATTTTTCTCTATAGAAAAAAGTTCGTGAGACCTCTGGTCGATAATATTTCTATAGAAAACCAGTGAGCGTATCAGTATAGTCGGACGGGGCCGACCATACGATACCCTACACAACTACGACGGAGTTCTAACTTTCTAAAGAAGTTTATTCCGAGCCTGGAAAATATTTCGTGACATTTGCACCCTCTTGCCCGATTAGAGTTCAACAGCACATCTTCCATACACTGACATATTTTCCGAATATTACTAATATTCAGTACAGTCCTTCTTATTACTTGTCCAGATTGACTTCAGCGTGGGTTGTATGGTGATGATCGGCTTATAATTCTCGGTCCAAAATTATTATCTGATCATCATCGAAAATTACAAGCGCTGTCCTTGACCATAACTGGAACCCCATGGAACATTTCAAATCGATCAGCGTTATATTTCCGCCCTCTAGTGTGGTAAGGGTTACTATATAATATCTGAATACGAAAGCACCTGTAAATATTTAAATGTAACTCCCACATCCGAGAACATACGACAATATAATTGGCATCAATTTAAAGGTCAGTCACTCCTCTTGAATATACTATCAACTTTTCGGGTATATGTCCTTTAGGAGTAAATATATACGCCATAGAATCCAAATTTTGTCATTTTTCACACGAAAGTCAGGATCCATTTGACCCGCTAAATATTGGCCGATCTTTATCAAAACAGGCATGCCTTTTCTTTGGCCCGATCCCCTTCTCACGATGTTCGGGCCATAATTGCGGCCTATGGAGCGACCAGAAAAACCGACAAAAATTTAGTATTTGGTCCATTTCATCCCCTGAATATTAACCGATCTTTACCAAAAACAATAGGGGTCTTCATTGGCCAGAACCCATGCTACACGCAAAATTTCATGAAGATTGGTCCATAACTGTGGCCTGTATCGTGTTTACAAATTATAATGGACAGACGGACGGACACACATGTCTAGATCGACTCAGCTAGTCGAAATATGACGATCTGTATACCTAAAGGTAGGTCTAGGGCCAATATTTCGTGGCGTTACAAACTCTTGGGGCTGCACAAAGCTATAATACCCTGACAACATAGTTGTGTAGGGTATACAAAATTCGTGAGAGCTGTGGTCAATATTTTTTTTTCCAAGAAAAAAATGTGTTAGATCTCTTGTCGATATTTTTTCTAAAGAAAAAAATTCTTGAGATAAAATTCCGCAAAGTTTTTTTCTATAGAAAAATATCTATCAGAAGTCTGACGACTTTATATAGAACCAAATAGATCTGTTATATTTTTATTGTTTTCTATAACAAAATAAATCCGTGATTTGGTTTTTCTAGAGAAAAAAGTAGACCTGATATATTATGAACTTTATTCTATAGAAAAAAATATACCTGCAGTCTACTGGGATATTTTGGGACAAATTTTGTTATAGGCCCCACATATAACAAATTTGATCTGAAACTCTGGTGACATCACGATAAACATGTTATTTATTATATCCATGTCTCAGCTGCAAATAAAACAGCAAAAAAACGTAAAAAAAAGTTTGAAAACTTTTCATAACATGTTTGCCTTGTTTACAGAACAATAAAAACAATGTTTCAATGTTTTATTTTATTTTTATTGTTCTCTACATACTTCGTGATGCATTTATCATGTGTTTCATTGCATTCTAAACTTGTGTTGACATGTGCGTATTAAAAAAACAACAACATTATGTTTACAAATAATAGACCAAAACTTTTAACAAGGTTTTGAAATGCATTCAAATTGCAAAAAAAATTGGTTCATTGACTTGGCAGCTGACATGACAAGTATGAGTAATTTTGCGTTTTTTTTTTATTAAGTATACGGTTATGGAGGCGTATATATGATTTTTGGTCAGGTGGATATAATGAAGAATAATATTTATATTCTTCTTATGAAATATTCATGTTGAACAAAAATAATTGTTTTTTTTTTAATATTAAAAAATAATTAATTATTTCAATTTCTTGAAGTAAATTGTGAATGCATAGTCGGTAACTGAGATGTTTCGAAATTTAATTGAAATCCCCAATTAATTTTGCTTCAATTTTCATCGAACAACAAAAAAACTAACCCAATTCCCAAAGATATGTCTACAACAATTTAATGCACGGTAATCTCCTATTTCCGATCACATTTAATTCGATCTAATTGGTTGCCACCATTTTTTTTAATTTTCTCAAATAAATTTTCAAATCAGATACTTGTTAGAAGTGTTACATAGAAAGTTGCCATTAAAAAAACACAATAATTTCAAATAATTCACATTATTTTAAAGTTTTTTTTTTTTAATTTTCTATGCATCACTCCAGTTATTTATAGTTTCCTTTAGATGCAGACGTCAGATACCCACACACATACACATATACAGAGATACATAGAAAGATACATTTATTAACTGAATTCGAGAAGCACGTCCCACTATTTTGCTAGGGACGTGGCCGTTACAAATACGTACAAAATTAATTTGTTCAAATAAATAGATTTAATGTTGTTCGAAATAGAAAAAAAAAACAACAACACAACACTACAACAAAAATAAAACAATAACAATTTAATTGAACGTGCTTCAAACGTTAGATGTATCAAACGGAAGTTCAAATCCAGTAGTACTTTTTTCGATGTTTTCATTTTTTTTGGCTGTGTTTTTGATTTGAAACGAAATAATTTCACATGAGTGTTGAATGACTGAGATTGTGTGTGAAATGTGCAACGTAATGACATTCATTTGCAATAAAATAGAAAAAAATATATTGTAATTATAAAACAATATAACGATTCATATAACCTAATTATAAAATGTTAGCAA